AGCTGAACATTTTGAGGAGACGGTAGAGAATAAGCACAAAGTCCGCACTGGGGACAGAACACACAGGAACAGCCAACTCTGCCGAAGGGGCCTTTGTCATCGAGGCTGTGCAATTCCTATCTAAGAACCAGGGTTGACCCACGAGGCAGGGGTTCTAATCTTTCAAGTGATGATGTGGAAATCAGAACAGAAACGTTTATTTTGCTCCAAACTGAACAGTATGAAGGAAAATGATTCTTGAGAAATCCCCATGAGTGCTAACCTAATTTTTTTTTTACTGTAAAGCTTTAAAATATGTATAAACATTATGTAGGTAGACACACACTATGTTTGTAGCTGACTTTTAAGATGAGAAGAAAATGACGAATGAATAGGACTCAAGCTGCAAAAAGAATAAAACATTAGCATTAATTTCACGTGATAATACAGCATTGCCTGAACGAAACTGCTGCTTGCAACATGCCTCAGAGGGACTACTGTGACAGGTTCTCTGCAGCTTGGCAATCCTATCCTACTATGCCTTGTGATGCCCAAGGCTCTCACTATTTTTATTCACTCTGCTAAGAAATCTTGATTCAGAGAATGGTCTGACCTCATTTAGCCTTGACTGCGACATTCAAGCCCATATCTGTTTTTATCTCACTAACCTGTGATCGTTCAAATAGAACCAACAAAACATCGGAAACATAAATGCAAATAAAATGAAAACAAATGGCCAGTGAAACCATATGGTGTCTGATGCTGAGAGCACTGCCACTCCAGTGACCCAGAAAACATTGAGAGGAATGATTTATATGGTCAAACAAAGAAAAACTCAAAGAAGTTGTCCTGGTAGAGAATCGCCATATCCCAGAAAATATATTGAGGACCCCAGTTTGAGGCTAGCAGTTGGGATGTCATTGGAAAAGCCTGAGCTTTAAATTCTGTTCTTTGTCTTGTATAGATTTGGGCTTATCATTGGAAAACATGTCAGCTTGTATCTCTGCATTTAATGTATTTGAGAAGTTTTAAGATCTATAGTTTGATGGTTCTTTTAAATGGTGTTAATGAACTCAGAAATTAAGCTAATTCTAAAATCTGGAGACACAGAGTGTGTATTTAGCAATAGGTTACATTAAAATAAGTCGATGTAGTTGAAACTGGTCTCAAAACTGGTACTCCAACCATTTGGGATCTCTTCTTCCTATAAGTTCAGAATTTTTGTAGCTAGCCTTTACTTCAAAAGGACAGAAAATATATTTTATCGGTTCTAATCAAAAACTCTTTAATAGCATACTCACAGCCATAATCACAAATCCTTGGCTGTCAGAGTAAAACAATGTTGTGGTAGTTTAGCTTTGTTTTATCATAATGTCTAATGATCTTGTATCTCTTTGTGGTGCTACGGAATAAATAAAATGTCTTAAAGTAAATAAGCAATGACTATAGCTTATAGTGTTAATATATCATGTTGATAGCCAATTCTTCAATCCATTCAGGGGTTTCTACAACTAGAACTCCTTAGATTCTCATATATTCCACTGGTGTTCAATCATTTTATCCTACATTTGCATTTCAAAAATTCCAATATTGGGTTTCTGTGCAACGAGGTGGAGCCATTTCACATGATGAGTGTTTGGGGGATAAGTTTTTGTGGCCATTGCTGTCTCTAAGGCCATCATGTCTCAGTAGCAACTGCATATGTTTAGACTTGCAGTTAACAGGTCTACGATATTTGGTTATATGTTTCATGTCTCTCAACTTCTCTATCACTAAGAGAAAGCCACTCTCCAAACATTCTCTTGCAAATTCCCATTAGTGCTGAGCAAAAAATGGACATTGAGAGAAGGAGGAAATAATAATTTCCCTTTTAGGCATCCTTGGTTGATATAGAAACAACCTGGATACAGATTTTAGGAAATTGCTCTTATCGAAATTCCTGGTTATGTGTCCTAAAGACATCTCTCTGTCTTAACTTGAGTAATTCAAAGGATATATAGAGAGACATGGACATATACACATAGATGTATATATACTGAGTGTACACATGCACAGAAATCTCTACCTATTGGTCAACTGATAGATACAGCTATACCTATAGCTATAGAGAGATATATAGAGAGAGATGTATGTATATATTCAACATATGTATATATATGAGTCTATGTGTGTGCATGTGTATGTATATATGTGAATGTGTGTGAATATGTATATGTAGGCACATGTGTGTATATATATATGTTTATGGGCATGTGTGTGATTGGATGCCAAATGTACATGCCATAATGTTTGATGGAAAAGGCAGAAGTAACAAAGTCTCTACTATATGAACCTAACTGTGTAAGCTTGTTGGCTAGGGCTGGAAGGAAACAAATAACCACACTTGACACAAATACAAAGACTGGACAATAATAGTCAATGATCACATCCCACCCATCCCTACATCTGTGTATCATTTTCTGATTCTCTTTTAATGTACCAATATTGGGTTTCTCAGTTACTTCCACTCTTTGGCACATACCTCTATTAGTCCTTAATACATTGCATCACTGGTGTGCTTCCTCTTCCCCAGTAAACTGAGAGCTAAAGATCATGGAACATTTCACTTTTTCTTGTGTCTCCCAGTGTGGTATCTGGCACAGAGTAAGTACTCAATAAATGCTCTTTGAATTAATGAAATGTGCATAAGGATGGATAGATACATGGGTAGATGAATAGGTGGATACATGAATGGATGGATGGATGGATGAGAACTGGCCAATGTCTCTGAGAGACTCTATAGCAGAAGCTGCCTTGTTTGATTTCTTGATGGAACAAAATGCGAGCACTCAGAAGCCCTGATCCCAAGCAAGGGAAGAAGGTATAAGGCGTGAGGAGACGATTTTTGGCCCACGGTCTCCATGCCGAGATAGCTGTATGTTTCCTGCATATAAATGCCTCTTCCTCTCTCCTTTTAAGCATCAGTCAAGAGCTTGATGCTGAAGGGCTTTGGAGAGGAGCAGAGCCCACCACAATGAAAATGGAATTGTGGCATCTGTGAAGGTCCTAGAAGTCAACTGCTCACCTCTGGGCAGAAGAGTCCTGCTGATGGGAACACTCAGGCACTCAGAGGAGCTGGGTTACTGTTTGTAAAGCTCTTCCCTCAGTGCCTAGATAGTATCCCTCTTCCTGCAGAAAGGCAGGAATTCCACCAAACCTTTTGTCAAATTTGGTATTAAATGCTCCCATCCCATCAAAAAGACCTATACAGAGCTCAGAAATATCTCCACAAAGGCCACTCTGAGGTCAAGTGAAAAAGAAAACATTCCTTTTCGGTTTTCACATCTTCAGTCCTGGAAATTCAATAGAAAAAGGCTCAAAGAGGACATATCATTCAAGTTGCTCTGACATTTTCAGCAGCAGCCACATGGAAGATAATCTGGATGCGAGGAGTTTCACGGAATTAAAAAAAAAATACTGTAATTGCATCAGTGGTTCATTAGATCTATTGCAAAACCCACAAAAACAACATGGGACCCCATTCTTTTTGTAAAGGGGGAATTACTCATGGCAGAATCGATGGGTTCACTTTTTCTTCTGGAGATTAAAAAATTAAATACTTCATAAATGAATTTTTAAAATCCTACTTAAAATTCAAGCCTCATTTCTGTCCTTTGCTCAGTGGATAGGAAAGAAATTAAACAATAAATTGAGAACAGGATATTATGCATTTGGAAGGCGTAGTGCTCACAGGAAGTGAAGCCAGGCCTTCCAGCCAGAGTGCGGGAGTTCTGCCTGCCCAGCGTGGCCTAATTCTGCTGGATTTCAGTGATTCACACCTCAGAGCTTCAGCCTAGAAAACATTCCTGAGATGCCTTCAGCTGTGGGCTTCTACGTCCCTGCAGTCTGATTAGCCGATAAGGATAATAAACACTAGAGGTTAGGGAGCAGGCACTTTGCAAAGGGAGGCAGGTTCCTGGCCCCAGGCTTCATTCTCCAGCTTTCCCCTTCCCCAGAATGAAGTTGGATTCACTGCCAATTTGCAAGTTAATGGGCTGGAAACTTCTGGCAGGGAGGCAGGCTCACTGGCAGGTCTGGGAGCAGCAGCCCTGGTCCCCCAGGAAATGAGTTCACTGTATCCAGTTCATCAAACTCCAGGTTTGCACCAGGCCACAGGACTCTGTATTAAAAAGTAGAGACATTACTTTGCCAACAAAGGTCCGTCTAGTCAAAGCTATGGTTTTTCCAGTAGCCATGTATGGATGTGAGAGTTGGACTATAAAGAAGGCTGAGTGCTAAAGAATCAATGCTTTTGAACTGTGGTGTTGGAGAAGACTCTTGAGAGTCCCTTGGACTGCAAGGAGATCCAACCAGTCCATCCTAAAGGAAATCAGTCCTGAATATTCATTGGAAGGACTGATGCTGAGCTGAAACTCCAATACTTTGGCCATCTGATGCAAAGAACTGACTCATTGGAAAAGACCCTGATGATGGGAAGGATTGAAGGCAGGAGGAGAAGGGGACGACAGAGGATGAGATGGTTGGATGGCATTACCGACTCAATGGACAAGGGTTTGAGTAGGCTCCAGGAGTTGGTGATGGACAGGGAGGCCTGGCATGCTGCAGTCCATGGGGTCGCAGAGTTGAACTCGGCTGAGCAGCAGAACTGAACTGAACTGAACAGGACTCCAGGGTGTGCTGAGGCCAGCTAGATGGCTCCCCCTAGTGGGAGACTGACTCAACACCCTGGAACCATAGGTGTGTGCTCAGCGGCTCAGTCATGTCTGACTCTGAGACCTGATGGACTGTAGCCCACCAGGTTCCTCTGTTCATGGGATTCTCCAGGCAGAATACTGGAGTGGGTTGCCATATCTTTCTCCAGGAGATCTTCCCGACCCAGGGATCAAGCCCTCATCTCCTGCATTTGTAGGTGGGTTCTTAACTACTGGGCCACCTTAACCACAACCCCTAAATGGGATATTTAAGGCACCCCCACAGACTTTCCTAGGACCCCACAAACACCTCTGAAGAAAATCCTCACCTCAGAAGATCTCTGGGACTTCAGCTTCTTCCTCAGCAAATTCGGGGAGTGGAATAGTGAAGTCTTCTTTGCCCTTCAGCCAGAACTTGGTTTGTTCTCCTTTGCCCTGTGGGAAGTCAAGGAGAGCTGGTGAATCTCAGAGCAGGAGAGGCTGCCTGTCAAGTCTCTCAGCAGACAACTCGGGCTGCCCTTGCTGGCTTCCTTCTGAGAATCACGTCTGTAGCCCAAACGGCAACCAGGCAGGAGCTACCTCGGTAAGGGAGACACTTCATCACTGATGAAATCGTGATCATGTCCTTGGACTAGGCTGATAAGCCCAAACGGACACTCAGCAAATGGCCTAGGGGGTGAGGGCCAGTGGAGTCTAAGTCTGCTGCAAAGAAAATCTTTTAAAGTGATAATAAAATCTGTTGAGCTCTTACCGTGAGTAGGGCACCAGGTGAAACACCTCACTTACAGGTTCACGATTAACACTCACAACCACCCTGAGAGGTCAGTCTTATCACTGTTCCTATTTTACAGATAATAAAACCAAACCCCCAAACCAGACAGCTAGGAACTAGTGGGGACAGGATTCATAGCTAGGTCTACACTGCTGCCATCTAAAAAAAGCTTCCTCTTACCTGACATTAGATGACACCAGAGCCAGGCTTAGTAAACTGAGGAGTTGAAGGTACCCTGCCCCCTCCACTTCACTTCCTTCCCTAGACCCTGACACTCACTCAAGCTCCCAAAGTCCTAGTAACCACTCACCACCCCCACTGCGAACATCTCCAAGATGTGAGAAGTACCACCACCCACAGAAACGCAAGGTTTACCAAAAAGACGAGGAGGTTTCATGGTACGTTTCATGAACTGGGAAACAGTTCATGGATGGACTGGGAGAAAGGCAGAGGGAAAGGGAAGAGATACTGAAATGTGTAGAGACGCGATGAGGTCTAAGTGCCCCCAGACCAGTGGGCTTCCATCCCCTCCACCTGGGCACTTTAGACTCAGGAGAAGGGAAATAGAAGAATGTGGGCATGATTATTCCCGGGTTGTATTTGCTGTTGCTTCATGTGGGAGACTACTTCATTCTGGGGTGTTCAAGCAGAAGCCAGGAGGCCAGTGCGGCAAAGAGGAAGGAGGTGTTGTACAAGAGGTTAGTCTAGGTGGGAGCCACTGTCACAGATTCCATGTTTGACCATCGAGGTAACTATACAGCCCTCTGTGGAGGAAGACAACTGGCAGGCACAAGAGCTCTATGTGAACCTCAGTGATCTCCATGAACCACGGCATGGAGACGCACTCATTCCATCAAGTTCCTTGACATCTCCTTCCGGGACCCAAGTGGGGACGGGCGTTCACAGTGGCCCTGGTCTTACCTTGACTGGAATGGTGCCTCTCTTTTGCAAATCGTACCCTCCCAACGCCAGCAGGATGCCCGCAGTGCTCTGAGAGACCTGGATCCGGAGAGCTGCCAGAAGCCAGATAGAGTCTAGTCATCACCATGGTTGTGAATTTACTATGGATGCCAAAGGCAGAGCAAAGGCTGAGGGAACGCCTCACACTTGGCTCAAATTCTGGGACCGCCAGCAGCTCTCATTAAGCGAATCACAGACAGCATCCCCACATCTGGGACACCTGGGCTGAGACCCCCAATCGTACAGGCATTGTTTACACGCTGCTAGGTGTTGCTCAAGCTTTAATAGGTTCAGTCTAGAAACAAGACAGAACTGACTCTATATGCAAGTTGGTGTTCCTGATGGATGGAGGTCAGCTGGGCCCCTCGGGCTCCCTGGGATAGTACCAGAACTGAGATGTACCACTGAAAAGGTCCGTTGTAACTTGAACTGCAACAAAAGTCAGGCTTGGAGCCTACATCAGCACTTCCAATTTCATATTTTATCCTTGAACTCTTAACTTACAAGATAAGACAGTGGTTTAAATCTGGATTTGGGAACTCACTTGATTAACTAAGAGAAAGTAATCAGAGGGGAAAAGACTTTTTGTCTTTTTGTGTGTGTCTTACGTGCTGTGAAAGATTTACAGATTATGTTCATCTAAAATTTTAGTACTTAAATCACTGAATAGTTAGTTTTTCCAGTTGATTAATGTCTCAGTCAATAAATGGCATATATATGTCCAGCAATAATCAGTGCAATAAAACTACTCTAAAGCAAAAGAATTTGATGCTCACCGGAGTTCCTGGCCATAGATTTCTTTGGTATCACCAAAACTATACATCAAGTTTGGCACATTGCTACTGGCAGGCCAAATTCTGCCCACCACCTGTGTTTGCAAATAGTTTTATTGGAATATAAACACACCCAACATTTATAGGTTGCAAACTGCTTCTTCTGCATTGACAACAGCAGTTATGTAGTTGCAACAGAGATTATGGCCTGCAAAGCCTAAAATACTCTCTGGTCCTGCTCAGAAAGTTTGCCAACTCCTACTCCTGATTTAAATGATCTTACCCTATGTGTACCTGACTGTTGAAGATGGAAAGTCTTAGAAGGCGCTGTCACGTGTGTTTACAGGGCTCCATCAAGAGCTCAGTGCAAAGCCTTATCTACAAAGCTGGCAACCAGTGTTGTCTAAAATGGATAATGATCTTATCCTTCAGATGGGAAAGAGTAGACAAAATGCAAATGGTCTTCTGAAAATACTCTCTGGTTAAAGATAGGGGACCAGAGGGACAGCGAGCTCGTGTTTGCAAAATGCTGTAAACAATACCCACGCAAACTGCTGCTTTCCCTTCTGGATGCCACGTTCACGGTGTCTCCAAACAGGCAGTATCTGGGCATGGTGATTCCCACCATGCCAGCCACCACGGGACCTGCAAAGCCAAGGACAGAGGGGCACAGCCAGTCCGCAATTTCCCCAGTGTCAGATCCACAATGAACATCCAGTCAAATGTTGTCAAGTACTCTTTGGGGCAAAGTTTGGCAACAGATTTCAAGGTTTACAATGAGGCATACTACGGAATTCACAGACTCTGAGTGGAAAGCAACATAATCAATTGTTATGGGTTGAAATAAACAAATGTTTGTGTGCCTACCCTCACGTTCACATGCTGAATCTCTAAACTCAATACAGTGGCATTAGGAAGTGGGGCCTTTAGCTGGTAATTAGAGGAGGTCATGAGTGTGGGGCTCTTTTGATGGGATTAGTGCCCCTGTTAGAAGAGGAAGGGGGCTTCCCGGGTGGCACGACTGGTGAAGAACCTGCCTGCCAATGGAGGAGACATGAGATGTAGGTTCGATCCCTGGGTCTGGAAGATCCCTTGGAGGAAGGCATGGCAACCCACTCCAGTATTCTTGCCTGGAGAATCCCAGGGACAGAGGAGCCTGGTGGGCTACAGTCCATGGGGTCTCAAAGTCAGACATGGCTGAAATGACTTAGCCCTGAATTGAACAGGAAGAGACACCAGCGTTCTCTCTCTTTTTCTGCGTGAGGATGCAGCCGGAAAGCACCCTGCAAGCTTGAACCGGTAGAACCCACCGTGGTAGAATCCTTGAGCTTAGACATTGCAGCCACCAGAACTGTCAGAAATGTGTGTAGTTTAAGCCACTCAGTGTACGTATGGTATTTTAACAACCAGGCTGACTAAGACATAAATTAATGATGATATTCATGCACTGGGTATGTACACAGAGCATCAGTGGCACAAACATAGGAGTGATTAATTCTGGTGAGCAGTCAGGGTCTATTTTAGTTAAGCTGTGGAGGAGAGGGAGGAGAAGGTCTGGCTACCATAATTTGCAGGGTCCAGTCTCAAATGACAATAAGGGATCTTCCATTCAAAAATTATCAAGAATTTCAAGACAGTGACAGAATAGCATTTAATCAAGTGCAGGTCATCTATTCCCAAGTCACAGACCCATGAGTTTGATAAAAACAGATCAAAGGGCATTTGATGGTGAGGCATGGAGGAAAAGCAGCCCAAAATAACTGTTCTGATTTGGAGGCTCCTCCTTTTTTGGGGCTAAACACCTTGGAATCTTTGTGTGTCCTTATTGTTACCAAGCAATCTGGCTAAGTAGAAATATGCAAGCAAAGATGATTCAATCTTTTCTTTCCCCCTGAGGATATCACCATTTGGTTTCTGGGCTTCTGAAAGCCTCGGGCCTAGGGTGTGAATTTAGAACCATCTGCTGCTGTATCTGGGCCACAAGGCCACCTGCCCTTAGTGCTGTCTACCTGTGTGGAGGCCATTCGGAGCTTCAGCTTCTCCTCGGGCATGTGGCCCATCTGAAAGTGGATGGTGGCACCAAGGAAGTGCAAGGCCATCATGGCAATCTCGTCCACGTGTCAGATTCCATTGCGGATGGGAAGTCCGCTAGCCACCATGTATGCATCTCCAATGGTTTCAGCCTGAAAACAAAGGAAGAAAGCGGCTTTGTTTTCTTCCCAAGGGAGGCTGGGAGTGAGGGGATGAGTGTGAGGTAAGGCCCCTCATTCCTGATCCTGCTTTGGGCCCCATCCTTGGAGGGGTCGCGCTCCGTGACCTCCACCCCATCCAAGTCCTCGCATTTCCTCAAGGTCCTGCCCTTGTCCTGTCTCCTCCAGGAAAGCTTCCTCCCCTGGCCCTCTTCCCCACAGTCACAGCTTTCCCTTCTGAAATCTGATGCTGCCGGTGACCGTATTCCCCCAACCCAGGTTCAAAACTAGTTAGGCAGACAGCAATACATTGATGAGGCACAGATCACCTCATCAGACTTGAGACTTGAAAGATCACCAGGAACCATCAAGGGCCGTTCATCTTATCCAACCTGGAAAATCTTCACTCCACGTAAGGGCTCTTAGGTACCACTATGCATCCGTTTATACTACACAAAATATATAAATGTAGGCATCCGTCTTCTTTTCCCCTAGTCCTCCTAATAAAATCACCTTTCAGATCCTTCATTCACAAGAGAGAATAAATGACAAGTGTAAGTATAAAGTTACAGCTCCTTTCAGATCCATCTGCATTTCAGCAGATTCCAACGACGATGGTAAAGGTGAACTTTCAGGCCTTAGCCAGGCAGTAAGAACACGTCTGCCTCCTGGTGACACTGAAATTACCCAAATCAACAAACACACAAGTCGAACTGCTTCTAGGCTACCTCATCCCACCGTGGGCACATCCTTTAGAAACACAAACTGATTTGAGCATTAGTTCAGGCAAAACATAGCTGAGAAGAAAACACAAAGAGACGATCCCAGAGGAGGATCTTCGAAGCAGAGCAGCTTCTGTTTTTGTTGGGTGAATGTGATCTGCTCTTTGTGATTGTTCGTACTATCCTTCCATCCACTCTTGAGTTGGGGCTACATCCTTGGGGAACTTTGGGGGAACACCACTGAGGGTGTGTTGCCAGAGGACATGATTACATTGCCCCAAGTCTTCCTAATCCAGGACCACAGGCAGAGAGCCCTGCAATCAGAGGTCAGAGCTGATGAGTGGCTGCCCACCTGGTGTGTGTGAACATGGGCGTCCTGGAGTCATCACCTGGCCCCACCAGAAAACATATAAGGTGGCCTTGTCATTATGAATGAAGCCAAATTGTCAGTTTTTGTTCTCTTCCCCTACAAAACTCCTCTTTCATTCTAGGTGACCTTGTTCATACATCTCCAGAGTAGTAGTACTAGTCAGGTAGTTACTATCCGATCTTTAGGCACGAGTCTGATAATCTAAGCTTGAATTGCTAAAGATCACAGTAAAAGAAGTGAGACACAACGGATTCAAAGACAATCTTTAAAGGAAAGTAAATGTGAGCCTCTCTGAATATGAAAAAAATATATATTCAGGAGGGAACTGGAGGAATTAGCCAGTAGAAGGTCAATGCCTGTTTTAGAAATGTGTTTACTGTGAGATAAAATAATGGAAAGGAACAGAGGGAACAGCTGATGATTCTTGACAAGCACCTACATCTGTGATGAATCAAGCCCTTCTCCAAGAAAACAAACAGGAATCAAATATTGAGTTTCTGCCATGAATTGAGATAGACTGCCAGCCTAAAATAGAGCCTTCCTCCTGACTGATGTCTTGGGCTGGATTCATCTTCATTCACGCCCAGGGGGGCACAGCTACAAGGATCATGTGCACCCCCACGACCCGGGAACCAGGTGTCTCACCTTATACACGTCATGAGTTTTAATGATGTGAGCAAATACACTGTACCGGTCAGTAAGGAGCTTCACAGCTTGCAGGGGGGAGCCGAGAGAGCAGAGTTTTGTGGATCCAACAATGTCAGAGAGAAAGATTGTCACCGACTCAAAATGCTCTGGTTCCACGGACATTTCTGCTACAAGCTGTTCTCCAGTGCAGCTGAAAACAGAGAATGAGGACGTTTTTGAATAGTATCTTATTCATATTATCTCCTATACATCCCTACAAAGTCTCCCTGGTAGATCTTTTTTGCTTCAGTGCATTAGATTTTTGGATAACAAGAATCCATCATCTAGAGGGAATTTTCTGACACCCATCTCTCAGCCTGCATTTTCTCTAAAGAGATATTTTAATTGGTAGGTATAAATTCGGGGAAGAGTGAGGAGCAGGTCACATAAATGCCTTTTCAAAAAGATTTTCTTCCTGAGGGAACTGCATTTTCTCCTACCGGTTATAGAGTTGATTAGAAAGACTCAGCCTGCTGATGTGGAAACAACTACAGTTGTCCACAACTACACTCATCAATTCATAAATTAACATTTTTACTTCTATCAACCAATCTCACATTAACACATTCAAATCGCCAACCCCCTTTCTTTGTCAAGACACACAGAATTACAGGAATTTTAAGAGCAGATGCTCTGTCAAGCGTTCAGAGTGTGCCCAGGTGATAACAGAGCCAAAAATGAAGCAAGTTTTGAATCTGAAGTTAGTAGTGCATGCTGTGCAAAGTATCTGGACAGATGTATAATATAAATAATCTGATAGTGAAGGACAGGGAAGCCTGGCATGCTGCAGTCCCTGGGATCCCAAAGAGTGGGACACGACTCAGCGACTGAACCATAATCTGAACAGACCGAGAGTATTGGGCTCATGAAGCTAGGGCACCCTCTAGTGGTCGCCTCCTATCACTGCATTCACTATATTCCATCCTTTAGAGATCTGTATTCTGTGATTCCTGTGGATCGGAGGGCATTTGCCTCTGTCTCGCTTTACAAGATGTACCAAATTACACATAGAATGCTCGACCCATTTTAGAAGAGCCTAACATCCTCTTAGGAAAAGAACAAAGGAAATTTTCTCTCCATGTGGGGCCTCCTTAAATAGCAACGGTGTTGCTTCCTGGTTCTTTTGTCAAGGCCCCAGGAACTTTGGATTACCTGGGCAGCATTGTGGATAAAAGCTGATCCACTTTCCTCTTCTCGGCCATCAGCTGGTTGGTCCTCTCTTCCACCACCTCCTCTGTGTGATTGGCGTACACTTCCAGCTTGCTCATCACACTGTCTAGTACACTCACGCGGCTTTAAAAGAACTCAGAGATTTACATCTTTGTCCAAGAACTTTAGGGCCACAGTGGAACACAACATGCAAGTATACATTCCAAGACAACATGTCGTGCCCTTAAGCTTTCACACTCAAGCATTGCCAGTGGGCAGCAGTGAAAGAACAATGGCCATAGGCATCTGGCAGGACAGTCCATCCTTTACCAGCCCTGTGATCTTGAACTGCCCCCATCAGTCTTTGGAGCCTCAGTTTCTTCATCTGAGAAATGAGGATAACAATACATACTTCACAGGGTCCTTTGGAAAATTCAGAGAGGCAGTGAGTACCAGGGCTGTGTCTGCTACCAGAGGGCACTGAACAAACAGCAGCCTTCACTGCCCTCCCCACGCCCCTCTTCCCTACATGTTTCATGCCATTGTCATGGTTATGCGGAAATGTAGGTTTCAGGAGGAGTTGTTCTTTTCTCTTAGGATGGCAACACCAGATGTTTTCTTTTCTGGTGACAGATATCAAGGGCGTTTCTAGATCCCATAGGCTCTTGTTTTAGAGGCATCTTCAAAGAAATCAAATAAATTTTCCATCTTTCACATAAGGAGACTGAGGCTTTTATAGGGAATACACTTGCCTTAACATTGACCCTATTTTCTAAGTAAAAAGTATTCACTGACCTGAGACCTACTATTTAAAACTATTTTGATGTGGAAAATGCAGAACATGGGGCTGTTCTGTTAAGAACATATAGTGGAATGGCCAAATTAGGAGTAGATGCCCGACTCCCACCCAGGCGTCTATCAACTCAAGCTGCTTCTCAAAAGCTGTGCCTTCTGACATTCAAAAGATCACACAGTGACCCTCATGTGAAGCCACTACTGAGAAAATTATTCAAGAGGCATGAATAATTAAAGTCAATAATCTACTCTAAGTTTGGTGGATAATTTTTTTTACCCTACCATCCAGTCCCAATGAATGAGTCATAACCCCTGGAATGCTGGCTTGAAAAAGATTCTGAGGTCATATCAGAACTCCTTGGGAATGAGAGTCTTGATTGATAGGCAGCATCTGGGGTGGAAAAAGGAGGACAATGAAAGTCTGGTCCATGTTTACATCATTTATGAAATAAAGGGAGAATTTACCACTAGACTGCAGCCAGCATGTGGCACAGTGCTTTGTATATGATGGGTCCTGAATGAGTATATGATGAAGGAAGAAAAGGAAGGGAGGGAGGGAGGAGGGAGACGGGAGGAGGGAGGAGATAGGAGGAGGGAGGGAGGGAGGCACAAGGAATCAATCGTAGTCCCAGAGCTTTAAAATTCTAATGGTTAAATAATTAGGAGAAAACCTCTGCTACACTTCTAACTCATACTCTGGGACTCGCTTCCCGTAAAATCTTCTTGATGGAACAGAAAGTGGGCCTTTTCTCTGGAGATTCATCCCAGCATGCCTTCACCATGACCACCATCTTTTCATTTCCCTTCTCTTCCAACAGGGAAGGTCAAGGTGGCCCAGAGACCGTGGGGTCCTGGATTCGGCAAATGATTTCTGAAATCCATTTGGAGTTTAGGTAGCTCAATGCCTGAGCTTTGGGCCATTGAGTACACTTTGCTTTAAACAGAGGTGTTTTCAAATTTATAAACTCAGTTGTTAAACAAATCAAACAGGTTAAAATTTCAGAGTAATCTGAATATTTTACAAGAAATGTTAGAGTTCTCCTGGAAAATGAGGACTCCTAATGTACACCCTTATTAATCTGACTTTTTTCTAACAAAACTTTTCTTGAAATGAAGGATATCTCCCTGTGATTTCAGGAGTATATATGCATTTGGTACTAGAAACACCTAATGTGTGCTTTATGAAATTTCCATTACCGGTAACATTTTTCATAAAAGTTATTTTAACAAACAATAATTGTAACTAGTACGTTCTGCCTCTGTGGCCAACTATGTAAACCTACTTTCTTTCACTTCCTCATTGGCTTCTACAGACTTTTACTGAACATTCTGGTTTGTAGAGGAAATAATATGACAACAATATACATGTTTTTTGTTATAAAAACACTGTGGTAGTGACACAATGAATGAATCTTAAATTTTTTACTAAGTGTAAGAAACCAGTCTGACAAGGCTACACTCTGTATGATTCTGTGTATATGGTATCCCAGAAAAGGCAAAATTATAGAGAGAAAATAGATCAGAAGCTGCCAGGAATTTGGGGAGGAGAAAAAGTTAAATAGGGGAAGCACTGGGGATTTTTTTATGGTCATGAATTATTCTGCACAAAATTGCGTTGGTGGGTCATGACACTGTGTATTTGCCAAAACCCACAGGACTTTACAGCACAAAGAATGAACCTTAAAGAATGCAAATTAAAAAATATATCAGTTGGGAGACTGGACAACTGCAAGACAGAATGCAGAGACCAAAGAATCTGTTTTACAAATGTGTGACATACCTCATTGAAGGGGGAGGGGGTAAAGCACTGTCATAAGCAGCTTCTAAAATGAGTAGATAGGGACTTTCCTGGCAAGTCCAGTGGTTAAGATTCAGAGCGTCTGCTGTAGGGGATGCGGGTTCAATCCCTGGTTGGGGAAGTTCCACATGCCCTAGTTTCACACTAGATACATTTTTTTATTTTATTTTATATTTATTTATTTTTTTTTTTAGGTACACACAACTTAGAGTTCTTTTGATTTCCTTGTTAACCTGGAAATTTAGGATTTTTTTAAAATTTATTTATTTATTTATTTTATTTTTTTTCATTTATTTTTATTAGTTGGAGGCTAATTACTTTACATCATTGCAGTGGGTTTTGTCATACATTGAAATGAATTAGCCATGGATTTACATGTATTCCCCATCCCGGTCCCCCCTCCCACCTCCCTCTCCACCCGATCCCTCTGGGTCTTCCCAGTGCACCAGGCCCGAGCACTTGTCTCATGCACCCAACCTGGGCTGGTGATCTGTTTCACCCTAGATAATATACGTGTTTCGATGCTGTTCTCTTGAAACATCCCACCCTCGCCTTCTCCCAGAGTCCACAAGTCTGTTCTATACATCGGAGTCTCTTTTTCTGTTTCGCATATAGGGTTATCGTTACCATCTTTCTAAATTCCATATATATGTGTTAGTATACTGTAATGGTCTTTATCTTTCTGGCTTACTTCGCTCTGTATAATGGGCTCCAGTTTCATCCATCTCATTAGAACTGATTCAAATGAATTCTTTTTAATGGCTGAGTAATATTCCATGGTGTATATGTACCACAGTTTCCTCATCCATTCGTCTGCTGATGGGCATCTAGGTTGCTTCCATGTCCTGGCTATGATAAACAGTGCTGCGATGAACATTGGGGTGCACGTGTCTCTTTCAGATCTGGTTTCCTCAGTGTGTATGCCCAGAAGTGGGATTGCTGGGTCATATGGCAGTTCTATTTCCAGCTTTTTAAGAAATCTCCACACTGTTTTCCATAGTGGCTGTACTAATTTGCATTCCCACCAACAGTGTAAGAGGGTTCCCTTTTCTCCACAGCCTCTCCAGCATTTATTGCTTGTAGACTTTTGGATAGCAACCATTCTGACTGGTGTGTAATGGTACCTCATTGTGGTTTTGATTTGCATTTCTCTGATAATGAGTGATGTTGAGCATCTTTTCATGTGTTTGTTAGCCATTTGTATGTCTTCCTTGGAGAAATGTCTGTTCAGTTCTTTGGCCCATTTTTTGATTGGGTCATTTATTTTTCTGGAGTTGAGCTGGAGGAGTTGCTTGTATATTTTTGAGATTAATCCTTTGTGTGTTGCTTCGTTTGCTATTATTTTCTCCCAATCCGAGGGCTGTCTTTTCACCTTGCTTATAGTTTCCTTTGTTGTGCAAAAGCTTTTAAGTTTCATTAGGTCCCATTTGTTTATTTTTGCTTTTATTTCTAAAATTCTGGGATGTGGGTCATAGAGGATCCTGCTGTGATTTATGTCGGAGAGTGTTTTGCCTATGTGCTCCTCTAGGAGTTTTATAGTTTCTGGTCTTACATTTAGATCTTTAATCCATCTTGAGTTTATTTTTGTGTATGGTGTTAGAAAGTGTTCTAGTTTCATTCTTTTACAGGTGGTTGACCAGTTTTCCCAGCACCACTTGTTAAAGAGGTTGTCTTTTTTCCATTGTATATCCTTGCCTCCTTTGTCAAAGATAAGGTGACCATAGGTTCGTGGATTTATCTCTGGGCTTTCTATTCTGTTCCATTGATCTATATTTCTGTCTTTGTGCCAGTACCATACTGTCTTGATGACTGTGGCTTTGTAGTATAGTCTGAAGTCAGGCAGATTGATTCCTCCAGTTCCATTCTTCTTTCTCAGGATTACTTTGGCTATTCGAGGTTTTTTGTATTTCCATACAAATTGTGAAATTATTCGTTCTAGTTCTGTGAAAAATTACACTACATAATGATCAAAGGATCAATCCAAGAAGAAGATATAACAATTATAAATATATATGCACCCAACATAGGAGCACCGCAATATGTAAGGCAAATGCTAACGAGTATGAAAGAGGAAATTAATAGTAACACAATAATAGTAGGAGACTTTAATACCCCACTCACAACTATGGATAGATCAACTAAACAGAAAATGAACAAGGAAGCACAAACTTTAAAGGACACAATGGACCAGCTAGACCTAATTGACATCTATAGGACGTTTCACCCCAAAACAATCAACTTCACCTTTTTCTCAAGTGCACACGGAACCTTCTCCAGAATAGATCACATCCTGGGCCATAAATCTAGTCTTGGTAAATTCAAAAAGATTGAAATCATTCCAGTCATCTTTTCTGACCACAGTGCAGTAAGATTAGATCTTAATTACAGGAAAAAAATTATTAAAAATTCAAACATATGGAGGCTAAACAACACACTTCTGAATAACCAACAAATCATAGAAGAAATCAAAAAAGAAATAAAAATATGCATAGAAATGAATGAAAATGAAAACACAACAACCCAAAACCTATGGGACACTGTAAAGGCAGTG